CTTAGATGATGACCCTCCAGGCCAGGTTACCCAGACACCATGTCTGTTTAGAGCAATCCATAAAATTATGACTTGAAAAATTTGCATGAAAGCTGGCATGGCTCATTTTAGGCTGACTACAAAATAGGCAGTCGGTTTGTTACAAGACTACCCAGGGAGTTTCGACCTGTCAGGAATGATCTGAGAAATTTTGCTGAAACATCACATCTTAGTGGGGAGACTATTTAGTTTTGTAAGGCGGATCCACACTTCGCTGGAAGCTAAACACTCCAAGGAGTGAATTAGAGTTTCAAACTAGTAATATAAAAGCTTTTTTTCCCACTGTCAAGAAATCCAATTTTTAGTTAACACTATTTCATATTAATACTCCTCCAAAAGACAAACTAATGAAACTTTTAGTCAGACGAGTAGAGTTTTGATATTCAGACAAGTAAAGTTCAGGTTATATCAAGTAAATGTATCCTTAATGAGCTCTTCAAATATTGCTCTTATAGATCACTTATGATAAAAATCCAAGCTCACTCCCATCGAGTCAATGCTGACTCATGGTGACCCTTTTGACAGCTAGAACTGCCATGTGGGTTTCCAAGACAGTCACTTTTTACAGAGTAGAAAGCCTCATCTTTCTCCCATCACTTATGAAAACTCTTTAAAATAATTTTTAAATGAACACACTATTTAGCAGATATAGATATATATTTTCCTAGAAAATAAAAGTATGTAAACCTCTAATTACAGTAAATGTGTATTGACTCAATTTTAATATCAGCAAATTACATAAGATCTTATCATGATTTATGTACCATAAAGCATTGTTGAGATTGTTGAATTATTTTAAAGTGTTCTTACTTATTTACTTTGTCTAAATGTGTCTTTCTTGTTGTGAGGTGCCATCGAGTCAGTTGCAATTGGCAGTGACCCTATGCACAACAGAGCAGACATTAATCAGTCCTGGACCATCCTCACGGTCACTCTTATTTCAACCCCCCGTTACAGCCACTGTGTCAATTCACCTTGTTGAGGGCCTTCCTCTTTCTTTGCTTTCCTTCTATTTTACCAAGCAAGAAGGCCAACGTTCTCACAACTGGATCAATCGGTGACATCATGATAAATGGAGATAAGGTCGAAGCGGTTAAGGATTTTGTCTGGCTTGGAATGCACAATCGATGCTCACGGAAGCAGCAGTCAAGAGATCAACAGACATGGTGTACTGGATAAATCTGCTGCATAAGACCTCTTTAAAGTGTTGAAAGCATGATATTACTTTGAGGAGTAAGGTGCGCCTAGCCATGGTATTTTCAATTGCCTCGTGTGCATGTGAGGAAGATGGAAGATGAATGGATGCATTTGAATTGTGGAGCTGGGGAAGAATATTGAAAGTACCATGGACTGGCAAAACAACAGACAAGTCTGTCTTGGAAGAAGTATGGCTAGAGTGCTCCTAAGAGACAAAGATGGCCAGCCTTCGTCCTACATACTTCTTTGTACAGCTTTGTCAGGCGAAATCGGTCCCTGGAGAAGGACATCATGCTTGGTAGAGAGCAGTGAAAAAGAGGAGTATCCTCAAGGAAATGAATTAGAAAGTTTCTTCTTTCTCACATGGAACAGATGGTGGATTTGAACTGCAGACCTTGGGGGTTTGCAGCCCAACACACAATCCACTCTGCCACCAGGGCTTCTTGGGGTACCAAAAAATAGTGAGTCGATTCAGACTCATCATGATCCTAAAGGGTACAAGGAGACCTCATATCTCAAATATAATTTAAAGGGGACATTGAGTCTTAAATAGGACAACGACACATCACCTGCATGGGGGACGTGTTTGCGACTTCTACTAATGGTCTCCGTCATCCCGATGATGTGTCTTTGTCTTTGTCCTGTTTAAGACTTAATAAATGTTCTCCTTAAAGTATATTTGAGATTTGAGGTCGCTTTTGAACCCTATAACAAGAGTCAGACAGACCTGGTTTAGAGACCAGGATCTGTCACTTAACAGCTTGGGACCTTGAACACATTTTAGAATTTCTCTCCAGGCCATCATGTCTTCCTGGGTAGACCAGGACTGGTAAGACTCTCTCTCACCAGAGAAGGTAGTTGTTATGTCCAAATGAGATTAAGTACCTGACAATAGTTAAGTGTTCAACAAATGGTACCCATTATTGCTATGATCTTATTCTTGATTTTGCAAATTCCTGCCCAAGTGTTAAGGAATAATTAAGGTATGTGCTCACATGGGTGTCAGTGTAATTCTCCCCAGAATATTTTCTTTTTAAATAACATCCCCTGGAGTTATTTACCCTTCAGAGTTCAAAGGAATCAAAATACAATGGCAAATATCTACCAAAGAGACTAGAATATATTGCCCCATGGTATCAAAAGATACCGCGTAGGTGACTGTCCCTACACAATCAAGTGACCATGGACTCCCATCAAGTGATGGGAAGTGGATCTTGGCTAATGGTTTGTTGTTGGTTTTTTTGCCAAGGCAAAACAATACTTTGCCCAAAGGGAAGACCCTTACACTCTACCAGCATTGCTATTATGATTCTGGTTTCTCCTTAAATAGGTTGCTAAGCAACAAAACAATGAAACATATGCCCTAAAATACACTGAAGTCTTTGGATTGAGATAGAGCATGCATGTGTGGAAGTTGGGGGCAAAAAGAGAGGGAAGAAATGCTTCTTACCACAATTCAATTCAACAACAAACTGAAAAAAGCTATGTAGTAACCACGAAGATAATATAATCCTTCTCCTCTAAAGAAGCTGTTCTCATATCTTTTAAATTGTTGTGAAATATATATAAGCAGACTTCCACTGTAAATATTGCATGTCTACAATTCAGTGTCCATAATGGCATCATTATGTTGTGCGGCCATTTCCATCTCCTGAAACAGAAATTCAGTATCTATACAAAAGCTCCCGTTCCTCTCTAGCCCTGGTAACCACTCATCGATCGACTTTCATCTCTATAAAAATAAAATAGACCCACTGACTCATAGGCACTCTATAGGCCAGGGTGGGACTCCCTCGGCAGGTTTCTGAGACTGTTAACTCTTTATGGGAGTAGACAGCCTCAATGTTCTCCTGCAGAGCAGTTGGGGGTTTCAAATTGCTGACTTTGTGGTTAGCAGCCCAACAAATAACCCCTACAGCACCAAGGCTCCATTTTGTCTGTATAGATTTGCCTGTTGTTGATACCTCACTCAAGTGAGGCCATGCTGCAGGAGTATTTGGCCCCCTCTCTCCCCACTGTGTCTGACTTATTTCCCCCAGTAGTATTTTCTCAAGTGCATCCATAGCATAGTACATATCAGAACCTCCCTTCTCCCTATGGCTTAACCTCATATGTAGAGCAATTCTTCCTAAGGAAGGATTTCATCCATTTTGCTGATTGTTTCCCATGTGTCTTATACCATTTTTATCTCATCTTTCCTTCCATATCACCTGCTTTTATAGTGACCCATTCTGATTTTCAATCCCTTTTGTGTCAAGATAGTTATATGTAAGCCTTCAATCATATTGTTATTTTATTCACTTCCTGTAATAATCTTGTCCGTGTTTCTACATACACATGGTTCTTTCAGGGGCTGAGTAATGAAACGAGAGGAAATATTAAAGTGAGCAACAGAAAACAGATCATATTGAAGTTCCAGAGAAAGAAAATACTACAGAAATGGTCACTTTGAGAAAATGGACTGTTGAGAATAATATTCACAACCTGTTTAACAGTGATGAAATCAGAGCAGAAACTCATAACAAAAGAGCAGGTTAAAAAAGGCAGAAGGATGAGAAAAGATAGATTTAATAGAACCCATAAGTGAAAGAAGAAAAAGCTAGTTTAGAAGAAGTGTGCATTACCTTGACTTACTGCCATCGAGACAATTCTGACTCATAGGACAGGGTAGCACTGGCCCTGGGGCTTGCTGAGATGGTAACACTTCATGGGGGTAGAAAGCCTCATGTTCTCCCACAGAGCAGCTGGTGGTTTGAAGTGGCTGGTTGCTTTGAATTGCTGACCTTTCAGTTAACAGCCCAACCCACTATGTCACCAGGGCTCCTAAAGATCCCTAGATGGCCAATATATGCGTAGAGGTTCATATCTTGTATACACGCTCAGCTTTTTAAATCCTAAGGGTAAAGAGAAAGATCTTCACAGTATCCAGATAGAATAACTAGGCTGACTGCAGAGAAAAAAGAATATTCCTACCTGCCTCAGACTTCAGTGTTTGCTAATGTCCATAGCATTCACTCCCAACATGGCTGATGTCAGACTACCACTGTCCTGCCAACCAACTCATTAAACTCCTGAACATGTTTAACCATCGGCCCTCCAGAGCTGGCTCACCAGGTTCCAGTGTATCCCTGCTTCTGACTCAAGTAAGAGAAGAGCAATTTCTCAATGATTTCCCTTTAAGTCAGTGACTCTCAAACCTGCTATACAATAGAATCCGTAGGAGTTGATGGGGATCCGATGCCGGGGCTCCACCCAGCAAAGATTCTGATTTAATGGAGCTGGAAGATGGTCAGGGCATCTCTAACTTCAAAGTACCTTGGTCAGAATCAAGCAGCACCCATGTCGAAGAGCACCTCCAACTCCCCACCTGTTCACTCATCAAAGAATTGGCAAAGGTGTGAGAAGTTATGCCTGACCTTATGACTTGTGATTTGTTTTGCAACTTTTAGTTTTATAGAGTGGGTGCCTAACTCTGCTTGTTGGTAAAATCTTATGAAAATTTAAGTTCAATCAAGAAATAATTTCTTGTGCTTTTTCTTATCATGTAAACAGTGACTAGTATGTAACAGACATGCAGATCAATTTAGCTGCTATTATTACTATTATTATTATTATTATTGTGGCAGTGGTGGTGGTAATGGTTTTGTCATCTGAATCTTCAATATAATGATCTCTATTGATCTTTATGAATCTTTTACCCTTTGGACATTACAATTTGCACTTAATTGAGTCTCAAGTAATTGACCGGATTTGTTTGTCCACAGGACAAAATGTTCAGCATCTCTCCCCAAACAGACCCAAAATCAGGGATCTTCCTTTCACAAGGAACAACCTCGCTCCCCTACCAGACCAGAAATGTAAGTGTTATGAATCTTCCTCCTCTTTCTTTGTAAGCATCAAACATGCATAGACACAGCTAGAGGTTTCTTCAGTTTACTTTCATTTTTCAAAGGAAGATCAAGAACCAAAACTTGTGGATTACAGGAAAGACAGATACAATCTTTTATGCTTCTTACAACTAATTGCTTGAAGACATGTTTCTTTGAAGAATATTTTTAGTTTGGACTATGACAACAAGGACATGTTTTCTTTGCTGTATATTATTTAATGTTTTTAAGCTTTTGCTTTAAACATTCTTAAGGTTGGCTTGTTGGCATTGATTTCCTTACTCTAGTGAACACATGGAAATGTGTGTTCTCTCTGTACTTGCGCTCCATTCATTCCTAAACCAAACCAACAAAATCACTGCCATCGAGGCAGTTGTGACTCATAGCAACCCTGTTGGACAGAGAGGAATTATCCCTGTGTATTTCCAAGACTGGAACTCTTTACAGGAATAGACAGCCTCATCTTCCTCCTGGGGGGCAGCTGGTGGTTTCAAACTGCTGACTTAGTGGTTAGCAGCCCAAAGCAGAATCCACTACACCACTGCTACACTCCCGTATTACTAAACAGAAATGAATAATCAAGGAGATGCCATTAATCAATGTTAACTTTGGCATTACTGATTCATAATATTTTTTACCCAAAAAAGGTGTCACCATATAAAATACCTGTACAGTGTCTTGGCGCGAGATCCAATTACATATACATCTGTGGGCCAGGGCACTCAAGTGCCAAGATCTCAGACCCTTGTCTTGAAGTTAGACATCTGCCTGACTGCTACAAGGCCCAGAAACCATCTAGTCTACAGCAATGGAGGCCCTGCTCCAAACTCCCAACCCGATCCCACTTGGCTCCCACAACTTTGTGGGTCTGGTTTCCAAGTTTTATCCACTGTGGACCCACAGGCTGCTGATGGGAAAGAATGTATCCAGGGTGCCCCAACCCTAGCTCAGAATCCCTCATTCCTCCTGGTCCACACTATCCCCACCCTAAGCAGGTTCTCATGGACAAGCTGACCCTCCCTGCCACTAGCTCAGCAGGGAAGGCAGGGACCACAGAGTGGGAACCAGCTGAGCAGAGCATTCCCTGAGGCCTCCCCAACAGGAGCTGCCTATGCTGTAAGCTTCACCAGACCAGGACACCCAGGAGCCACGAGCCCTGAGGACTTAAGTGTCCACACAACATCTAAATCCTATTTCACAGAACTCCTGTGGGCCTCATCCCTTTATGACGTGGAGTGCTTGTTGAAGAGTAGATTCTTGGGCCCGTCTCTTAGCAATTCAGATTTTGTATATCCTCCTACACTCATGACCTAGTTTATTATTAGTCTCACTCTACAAGTGAGAAAACTGAGTTCAGAGAGGTTACCTGACTTGTCCGTAGAGGTCCCTGGGTGGTGAAAACAGTTAAGGCGCTTTTTGTCTGAGAACTGAAAGGTGGAAGGTTTTAGTTCACCTTAAGGTGCCTCAGAACAAAAGCCTTGGCACTCTCCTTCTGAAAACCCCGCCAATGGAAACCCTATGACACGCAGTTCAGATGTGACACACATGGGGGTCACATGAGTCAGAATCGACGTGACCACGGCTGGTTTTCTTAGGAAACAGAGCCAGGAGGCAAGGACTGAGTACTGAGTCAGCTGGCTCATGGCACAAACAATACTCCCTGGATTCTAATTCCTCAGCTTCTTGTTCTTTCTGTCTACTGCCTATGCCCATCCCAACCCCCTTTAAATAATCCACACTCCTGAATTGTATGATATGTGAATTAGGTGTCAATAAAAAATGGTTAAAAAAAGAAGTCATACCTACAACAACAAAATAATAAGTATCATTATAATAATACACACACACATGCATGTGTGCACTCCTGCTATCTTCTCTGGGTTATACGTGAGGACCTGTCTTCACTCTTTCAGACAAGTTGCTTAACCTGT